GGAAATCCTATCTGCTGGATAGAACAGTAGAATTCAGGTCACAATCAAGGCTTACAAATATTCTGAGCCTGTTTTCTATAGGGACAGAGGAACTTCCATACCTGCCCAAACTCCCCATACTTACTTACATAATGACTTACTCCTTGTTTCCCACCTCATACCCAGGAATTTGGTAATAATCAGCAATGACACTGTGAATGCTATGATAAATATATTCAATTTTCTATAAGATGTACAAATACCAAGAATATATTTGAAAAGAGCTGGAAAGAGTAAAATATACCACAAGATAAACTTCGGCCACAGGGCCTACATGTGACATTATTGTACAGTGTTGACATTTGACCTTCAGACACTTGTCCTACCTGTTACATCATCGAACAGTGTTGACATTTGACCTCCAGCCACTTGTCCTACCTGTTACATCATTGAAGAGTGTTGACATTTGACCTTCAGACACTTGTTCTACCTGTTACATCATTGAACAGGGTTGACATTTGATCTTCAGACACTTGTCCTACCTGTTACATCATTGAACAGTGTTGACATTTGACCTTCAGCCACTTGTCCTACCTGTGACATCATTCTACAGTGTTTACATTTGACCTTCAGACACTTGTCCTACCTGTTACATCATTGAAGAGTGTTGACATTTGACCTTCAGACACTTGTCCTACCTGTTACATCATTGAACAGTGTTGACATTTGACCTTCAGCTACGCCCGGGGCCTACATTTGACGTTATGTGACATAATTGTATAATGTTGAATTCTAACCTTTAGCTACGGGGCCAGTGTACAGTGTTGACAGTGGACCTTCAGCTACGGGGCCTACGTGTGACATCATTGTACAGTGTTGAATGTTGACCTTGCGCCACAGTTTCTTCTTATGACATCGTTTGACAATGTTCACATTTTACCTTCAGCTACAGTGCGTACATGTGCCATGACATCATTGTACAGTATTGACATTTGACCTTCACCACTATGGGGAGTACGTGTGACATCATTGTACAATGTTCACAGTTTACCTTCAGCTACAGGGCGTACATGTGACATGACATCATTGTACAGTATTGACATTTGACCTTCACCGCTATGGGGAGTACGTGTGACATCACTGTACAATGTTCACAGTTTACCTTCAGCTTCAGGGCGTGCATGTGACATGACATCATTGTACAGTGTTTACATCTGACCTTCGGCTACGGGGCTTACATGTAACATCATTGTGCAGTGTTGACATTTGACCTTCAGCTACAGGGCGTACAGGAGACATGATCGACATCGTTGAACAGTGTTCACATTTGACTTTCAGCCACAGTGCCTAAGTGTTACATAATTGTATAATGTTCACATTTGACCTTCAGCTACTGGTAACATAATTGTACAATGCTGAATTTAGACCTTCAACAACTTGGTCTACTTGTGACGTCATTGTACAATGTTGACGATTGACCTTCAGCCACAGGGCCTACATGCAAAACCATTGTACATTGTTCACATTTGACCTTCAACTATTAGATAAACAATATGTATATCACAACAATATTCTAAGAAATGCACAGTAAATATAGAATCAGCATTTCATTTGGTATTATCTAGCGGTTTTAAAACATTTTTTAGGCTTCTTAAAATTAAGTAATGGTCCATGTTCCTCGAGGGAGGAGGAAGACCGTTTCATTATTCTGCTGCTGACTTTTTCAAACTTCAATTTTTGTATGTGACTGCGTACGTGCTTCAGCAACAGTACGCTCTTGTAGGAAATATGGTAATATATGGTTGTACAATTCTTTTGACGTAAGCCTGAAAATGTCCACGGTCTGGCCTACTAATTAACATCGTCAATAAAGGTGAAGGATAAGATAGATTAGTAATCAAATGACGTCACCATTCATCATCATTTTGATTTCTATTCTTTATGTAAGTTCTGTGTTACACAGTGCTGGACAAAGTTAATTAATAACGGGACAGAATAGGCCCTTACAGACCTACCTGTACACCACTGTCCGTCCATTTACTGCTCATCATTTTGCACCGTCCAAAATAATTGCTATAACTGTGCATTATAACAGCAAAAGTCATGACAACCCCGGGAACACAGGCAAAATTGTCAATGAAAATTACGTGTATGCGTTTGTGCAGAAATTTCCCCTATTAGTTTTACGTTGGCAGTTTTGGTGAAAGATTGCAACTATCACAGACTTTTCAAATTGCGTGCTACTGACTAAATTGTTGAGAGAAAGAAGTTATGTAAACCATTAAAATATACGCGTTTAACAACTTAGACTAAATATGAGCAAAGTAGGTTCATTTGAAGAACATCAATATTAAAATAGAGGCACGTCATGTAGTTGTATAGCAATTATATAATTAGCTTCTTTTCAAAATGAAAGATATATAAAACGTTATTAATAGAAAATGACAGATACTAGTATTTACCAATTTCATCGCGGACAAATACTTACTAGTGAAAAAAAATCGCTTATCACCAACTTCACTACATCATACGGTATATTCCAAGAGGTGAAAGGAATCTTAAGTGCCTATACGAATTCTTTCGGTATTCTTGGTTCGACCAAATGTTTTAGTAACATATAAGTAGTATACAGCTACCGAATATCTGTCGTTAATACAGGCTTGTATACATGTACAGTTATGTGCCATATAATTAAGGCTTTCGCGATACGTTATTTACAAAATGGGGTTTATTCTTATTCACCTTTCACCTGAATAGTTTTAAAATCCCAGCTAAATAATCACTGGCGTCATTATCACTAAAATTGTGTACCTATATGCTACTCACAACCGGACACAACTATAGAACAGTATCGAGATGCGTCTCAAGAAGCTGGATCAGCTTACATCGACGTCGACACTACATGAAAACTATTCAGTAGATTTAATTTGTTCACAGCTGGAGAACTATTCTGTGTTTCTATCATTGATACTGATACGATTGGAGAGGAACAATTATTCCTCCATAACCTAGCTAGACATATATATTGTTACAGTCTTCGTCCATGTTCATGTATTGAGAAATTCGTTTTCATCTCAATATAACGCGCCCAATCCTGTTCCGTGTTATCGGACTGTAACAGCTAAGGAATATGAGGCGGAAATAATGCCAATGCGGTATAACCCGGGGACCCGCTCACTAGTTCCGCAACGTAGAGCGTGATCAGTGGCTGGATGGGTGACGTTTATATTTGGTGGCAGCGTTGGGATCATGTAAGTCCAATTCCCCGGTGGTAAGGGAAGGTGCATTGATACCCAGGTGGTGAGGGAAGGTGCATTGGTACACAGGGAGCACCTACGGGATTCCCCAGACCAAGTCTCGGGACGAGACTTCTCGGAGGGGGGAATAGTATAACAGCTAAAGAATAAGAGGGGGAAATACTGCCTTACTGGAAAGCTAGCTTTTACAGTGATGCGGTATAACCCGTGGATCCGCTCTCTAGTTCAGCAACGTTGAGCGTGGTCATGATCAGTAGCTGGATGGGTGACCTCCCGCGCGTTACATTTGGTGACAGCGGTGGGATCATGTCAGGCCAGTTCCCCGGTGGTTATGGAAGGTGCGTTGATACACAGGGAGCACATATGGGATTCCCCAGGCCAAGTATCGGGACAAGACTTCACTGAAGGGGGGGGAGGGGGGGGGGAGATAGTTTAACAGCTAGCTAAGGAATATGGAGGGGGGATACTGCCTTCTTCTTTTTCTTCTTCATCATCATCTTCTTCTTCTTCTTCTTCCAATAACTGCGACAGAACTCCACATAAGTATGAGTGCAATTGTCGCAATCATGTGTTCTTGGATGTGGCATTCTGCCTTACTGACAAGCTAGCTTTTCCAGTAATGCGGTAAGTTCAGCAACGTTGAGCGTGCACGTGGTCAGTATCTGGATGGGTGACCGTCCGCGCTTTAGAGGACCATAACGCGGAACAGAATGCTGTTTAATGCTTAAATAAAAGACAGTTTTGACGGTTTTTCTCGTCGACTCATTGCTATTTTTTTTTTACAATTAACTTATCATGGTTATAATTCTAACGAACGTATCAGTATTTACTGATGTAGGCAAGATGTAGACCTAAATATCAACACGGATAATCTAATTCACAATTTGCAATGGCCAACACTACACACACGCAGAACAAGAACATTCTTCTCTACAAAATAATACACCAACAAGTAGCAATACACACTAACAATCTCATCCCGGCAGACACCAGAACACGTCAAGGACACGACCTTAGTTACAGACATATATACACATCCAAAGACACATACAGACACTCGATCATTCTTTCCATACACGTTAACACAGTGGAACCTCCAACCCAAAACTATAATCCAATCAGAAACATTAGCAGAATTCAGGACATGCACCACACATAACATAATCGAACATATACAAAACCTACAACATAACTAACACTCACTCACTGCGTTTAACCTGTTTTTATCCTATAGCAAATAAAAATAAATAAAAATTCACTGTACATAATTATAATTAACGCACTACAGCACAAGACCGACTTCCGTAATCGTCGGTAATGACGGAGGAAGGAATAAATATGAAGATGAAGAATTCCGTGATATCACCAACAGAAGCATGCTAGATGATTTTCTAGCTGTGTGTCGAATAGAATAACACGGAAAAAACGAATGGAAAACGAAGTCAGGAAAAGTTATTTGAATAGAAAAATCCATCTGAGAACCAATGTGACCATAACGACTTACTTACAATATATTTGATAGAACTTAATTTGTTTTTAAATGGAATGAAATAAAGGATCAATATGGCTCCTTGGCTAGAGCACAGACTTAGATAACAATTGCTAGAGTGACTAGAGTTTCTCCACTTTAATGATTTAAGTAAGTTTTTTCATTGGTCACACAAGAAATGCTATATTTAGTAACAACCCGTACATTATCGCATTCGAACGGACTCCGATCGGTTCGACCAATCAAATTAAAGTTATATAGACGGTCCGGATGATTTCTGCGTCGGCTTTTACTTCCGCTTAAGTTTGAGTCGATTCTCGTGTGGCGGTTTTGGTGTTATTCTATTGAAAACATCTTCATTTCGTACAATTCACGATGGCATCGCGTCGGCGTCGAGCAGAATCGTACAGCGATGATGAAGACAGTAAGTTTTCCATGTGTATATGAAAAATGACTATTGCAGACACTACTGAATCATGTTTTAGGAAATTGACTGAGGCCGAAAACAAAGATTTTGTAAACATGAATTCTGCAATTCTACTGGCAGTACTGTAGAGGTGCACTGTTGGTCATTGCGTTACGACACCACTTCGAAGATCAGTTTATGGGCTAGAATAGTTTAATTTAATCAAATGAACTCGACGGAATTGATGAAATCTTATTTTCATAAATGATTTTGTGGGGCTACAGACGTTTCGGTACCAAGATGCCTCGGTACTTGTCAGGTTGGGGAAAACCACCAACTTGCGTATATACGCAAACTCGCCTAATATGTTTTACGGCACGGCCGTTAGTGAGGGCGGAGCCAGGTTGTACTGTAAATGTATCGGAATATCGGTACTGTACTCTTTCAAGCATTGAGTGATGTGTTAAATTACTAAATCAGACCTACATGTATAGCTATACAGTGTATATTACAGATAAGTTTCTTTTCTTGATTTCTTTTTGGCTGACAAGATGATCATGTATAATAGCATAGTTATCTGATATCCACGAAAAAATATACATATATATATGTAAATATCTTTACGAATAAGCCCTTTGGATTACTTCAAACTTAAGTTCAATGATTTATAAATATTGTATCAAGAGAGAACTTATGCATAGTATTTTACATTTTTTATGCTTTTTATGTCTAAAAATTAATTTGTTCAATGCTATAAAAACTGGATAACCCAAATCGCTTTAACAGTAACATTTGCAAGATATTATTAAAAATCGCATTAATTTACGACAAGGTAAATAATATTTTGCTAAAAGATGTTTACTGAAAGCGGTGGCTACTTAGAAACTTGATGTAACTTTACCGGAAGTATTGCATCTGTTTTTGGTACTTTCCCACATGCAAATAAAGTTTATTTTTGCATTTGTATTATGTTTTATGACTGAATAAATGCGACTTGGACAAACAATGTGAAAAAATTAAGATTAAAGTGATTTTGGCTATTTTTAGTAACAAATCCATACCTCTATTGGCGTATAATAGGAGAGTTTGCATATTATACGCAAGTTTTCCCGACCTGGTGTAAGACATTTCGGTACTTTTACAACATTTCCAGAAGTATTTGATTATATTCAATAATTTATAAGATTGATAAATAGCCTCAACTCTGTACTGTTCTGTAAGTTGCCGAGTTTACTTCTTCCTACTCATCTTCCTACTCAATCTAGTTGAATAGGAGGGGTACACCGACGCATAAGGGTGATAATCCTGCATTTGGGTAACCGTTACCGTTTTCAGAAACAATTTTATTACTGAAATTGGAAATATAGTGAAATGAAAAAACATTCTGAACAAAAAAGAGGGCATAATTCTTTCAACAATCCAATAAATAATACAAGGAGGTATTTGTTCATTATTTTTATGAAATTGACAAATTGTATCACCTTCATTGCTAATAGTTTGTTGTATAATAGCTATAAATAGGGGAAATCCGGGTAAATACGGACATGCGGGCTAATACGGACAGTTCTTATATGAATCATACATAATCCATTACATATGATTAAATCAAACTCTGTTCATATGGATGCATGTCTTCGTTGGCGGACAGTAACCGGAATATCCCATGGTCTAAAAATAGCAATGGCTTGTCTAACATGCGAGCACCTTGCACCACTACGTCTGGAAACTTGATTTTCGGAAACGATGTCCGAAAGATAGTTATGTTACAATTATCTTCACAATAACCAAATATATATCCTTTATATTGTACTCATAATGTTGTTACTTATATTTTTTAGATTGCAGTATTTTATCAATATGAAAATTTAACTGTTGTATGTGAGGCGTCCGTTATTTCCCCCAGCTTTTTATTGGGCGGGTAAATACAGACAGTTATTAATTGATCAATTAACTTGCTGAGAATGTTTTGACTCCTGTTATCAGAATGAGGATTTTACGTTGATTTCTTTTTACAAGCAAACATCTGATATTAGAATTAACACAATTATACACCTTAATAGACTGTCAAACTTACATTTTGGAATTGCCAATAGCACAAAACCAACCCTAGTGGCATGGGGGGGGGGGGGGCAATTACAAACTGCCCGGTATGTTGTATGCCAACAGGATAAGAGCAGAACATGTAGCAATGAATCCCTGGTGAAACATTGTGACCAGTTTCTATGGTTATATTGGGCGAGTGCATGATTAGAGTAGCTTGTCCGTAATTACCCGACTCTTGTCTGTAGTTACCCTACATGTGCCCGTATCACATTCAATTCTATAAATTCTGTGTTTTGGTTTATATTTTAGTGTTCATTTTACTGACCAATCAAAAGCATAACTAAAGATAAAAAACAGGTAGGGACCTTCATTCTGACGAAACATGTTCGTAGATGATATCTATGATAGATCGCAGTATGTTGATTAACTGTACCAAGGAGCATGTATTAGCAGTCATCATTTAAAAAGTGTCCGTATTTACCCAGATGTCCCCTAGCACACAGAGAAAAAGATATGCTCACCTGTCACATCTGCACTGGATGATCCTATATATTTTACATACAATGTACGTATACTGAGGTGATATGGTTTGTCATATTCACAATAAGTTAGACATCAGAATTGATAACTTTTTGTGTACAAATGTACTTCATTGTGTTATTAATTGGATTTTATTGAAAGAATAATGCCCTTGTTTGCTCCCAGTGTTTAAAAGAACTTTGTGTGTTTTTTATTTCACTTTATTCACCATTTCTGTTACACAAAATGGTAACTGTATGTACTCAAAATGTTCCAAATGCAAGCTAGGTTTTTTACCCATATGCGCCGTTGTGCCCAACCTGTTGAAGATCATGACTGAGTTCGACACATGAAAGGAAAGGAAGATAGTCATAGATAAGGGTACATGGTGAAGTCAATGCAAACATTACGTAGCAATTGCAACAGAGAAATGGAGCACTAACTACTGGGCCAGAGCTTAAAATTATATATGTAAAGTAGACTGACTATAAATTATTTAGGGGAAGAAACTACCACTAATGTGAACTAATTATTTTGACAATGCATCTTTTTGATCTGATTTATTACAGCGAGCCATTCCTCCAGGAAAAGGAGAAGGGCCTCAGATAATATAGACATTGAAGACCGACTGGAATCACTCATCACGAGAGTTGGAGAAAAGGTTTGTTTGTTTCACTCACACTTATTGTGCAGTGTTCTTGCAAGGCATGAAGGAAGGATTAAGGATCTGACTTAGATTCATGATTCTTTGTGAGGGTCTGACATAAGTATTATCCCCTTGATTGAATAAAATTGATGATAGGTATAAGACCTTAGACAATCGATTATTTACTGTCATAATTGGTCATGGAAAAAAGGTTCTGTTGTGTAGTAAGGACTGTTTTGTACCTGAACATTCCGCCAACAATGAAACTTCTTTAAAACATAAAATAACCGAACTGAAGAATTGGTGCCCAACATTTATTTCCATTTATTTTTAATGAGTACAATTGTTGTGTTTTGTAGAAAAATACATTTCTTCAAATATAGTATGTAACTTGCAATCTTAATGAAAGATTTACTTCATGTTTGTTATATTTTTATTTTCATTTCGTATAAAATTTGAACTTTTTGAACTTCTTGAGGAAATTCAACCTTGAGAGTTATCATTACATTTTTACGTTGAAATTGTCTTCCTCCCTTGCAGAGTACGTCATCGCTTGAAAGCAACTTGGAAGGATTATCCAGCGTGTTGGAGGCAGATTTACCGAATTACAAAGGCAAAATCATACGTATTCTTTGTGAATGGTAAGAAAACCTCGACTTTATTTCGTCTTTGAAAACGTTTTTGGTCTAAAGATGTACATGATATATAAAAGGATAATGCCTTTTTGGAAATGGCATGACTATTCATTTACGTTATGAAATTTGAAAGTGTCTCTTCCATAACAATTAAATCTTAATGTTAACAAATAAATATATGACATAATTTTTGAAAGTTATGTACAAAAATGTATAGCATGAATGTACATAAATATATATATATAGGCTTTTTTATAACCGAATATGGGTAAATTCCCCCTCCAATTTCAGCTTTATTTTCCCCTATTTCAGTTAACAATTCCCCCACTTGTAACTGAAATGCTACCACATCATAAATATCTGTCTTTGTTCCATTTTATTTTTATTTTCTGTCAGTTCCACGTCTGAGCGATTTATTTCATTTTCCCTGTGTTCATGTTAATTGTCACTGCTGATATATTACGACACTGTTTACAGCTAGCCCTGTTTACTGTATACAATATCATAACAGTCACACAAACGCTTTATTCTAATGCATATCCAGTGGTCAATTTGAAGCATCTGTAATGAACAGCGAGAAAACAAATAGCTTTCTATTCCTGCATTAGTTCTTGATGTAATAAAAGGAATTGCAGGAGAAAACTTTGAATATGATGAGAGTGAAATAATTGTTATTGAAGTTGAAGTTATTCCTGTACAAATTTCAATAAAAATGAAAAATCTAGTGGTCTGCTTGCAACTCTTTTGTGATTTCCTACAATGCTTTGTTGTAGTGTAACAAGACTGCCTGAGAAAATGGCGGTGTACTCTACGTTAGTAGGACTCCTTAATGCGAAGAACTACAACTGTGGAGGGGAGGTAAGTCAAGACGTCCACAGACTTAATGCAATTCGGACAATCTCCAAGAGATAGTTGAAGTGAACAAATTTAAACCAAAAATGTGTATCCTGGCCTGGATGGGACCTATGGAATCCAGAATGTTGATGATATGAGCCTAAAACCATGTTACAATAGATATGATCATTCTCACACAGTATATTTATACATCCTGTACTTTGTGTCTTCAAAACTGCTAGAGATACCTACTTTATTGAGAGACTTCCTGTGGTAAGAGACTACTCTCTTAAAACTCTACATTGCAGTGATATTCAAATCACTTTCAGTAAGGGAATACATTATAAACATCTCAAGAGTGTTCTCGGAGTACCGATACATGTTTAAAAACAATCACTGAAAGAGACTTAAGTTAGTATGCATTTGAACCACTACATGTGAATAAAGTAATGGAAATAGTATAACACATATCAAAAATATCATTTTTATTCTATAAAATAACCTTTTTATTCATTTTTTATCAATTTCAGTTTGTTGAACTGTTAGTGAGAAACCTCAAGGAGACAATGAAGTCTGGGGAGTATGAGAATGCTAGACTTATTGTAAGTATGCAAGTTTTTATTGTTTAACTGGTAATTTTTCTGGTCCTGTTTTAATATGCATGTTCAGGGAAAATCCTGGAATTTGAGAGCAGTGGTTCGTTTTCAGCAATTTTTAGTCAATATCAAAATTAACCAAGGGCCCCATATCATGACCCCCCCTCCTTGATTATCCCTGTCTGTTATAACCCTTAATTATATTTTTACTGTACAGACATGATGTAAGTGCAGTTATATGAAATTTTGTCCTGGAATATCAGAATGTTATCAGTAATTTATAATTTGAATTTTGTACTGATGTATGTGTAGGTGCGGTTCCTGTCTGACTTGGTCAACTGTCATGTTGTGGTGGCTGCGTCTCTACTGGCAATGTTCGACAACTTTATAGAGGTCACTCTGGAGGATAATATCCCACAGGTAAAAACTGGTATAGAACAATAACACCCAACAGTAGGGCTGAAACACCACATATCTAATTGTATTGTATCATTGTACTTTTTTGTGTATCATATGGAATTGTTTGTAGTCATGTATCGTGACACAATAACTAGACTAAAATTTTCAATCAAATTCTTATTTAACTCTACATGTACAAAAGTATACTAATTGTTTTGAAATTCTTCAGTAAACATATGGTCCACTGTACAGTCATATCCAAAAGTACTAAAAATCATACAAAAACATTTTTCAGTAGTATTTATTTTTTGACACTATGACAAAACTTGGAACAGTAAAATCTGTTGCTCACATTGTGAAGGTGACCTTTTAAGCAGAAATGTGTATTGTGATACATATTATATCCTAGTCATCGTACCACGATATGTATCATCGTAAAGTCTGCATATAGTTTCAGACCTATCCAACCTGTAAAAACTGGTATAGGACAATACCCCACAGGTTAAAAACTGGTACAGATTAACAACATCCTCAAAGTGAAACTGTTACTAAATACTTGTATTTCCTGTGTGAAATCTAATTTGAATTGTTTTGTTTTTCAGGTGAGATCTGACTGGTTCTGTTATGCTGTGATGGGTGCGCTACCCTGGGTGAGTACAGAGATTTAGTTTAGATTTATACTCATTAGAACCTTGTTTGAGTTCTACACATGTATATATAAGAGTAGCAGTAAAGTTTTATTATGTTGAAAACCATTTCTGGATTAGTGTCTGAAATGTTCCTGATCAGTGTCTGCAGTCAAATTTCAAACAGCTGTATCAGTAATTTACAGAGTTGCACTGCATAATAGATGACTCATGTTTTGGACATTTTGTCTATTTAACAAACATTGAAAATTTCCATACATAAGTGAAAAAGAAAAAATGGGAACGAAAAATGAAGTGTATATGTAGTACAGCGTAGTACACTGGCAAATTTGACCTGAAATTGACCTCAATTTGATGTAAAAAAAATCAAGTCAATTTCAGGTCAAGTTGACATAAAAAAAATTGCCTGTGTAGCAGCCTAATTTGGGCAGAGATTCAGATGGATTTAAAGAGTATTGGGTCTGTAATATTATTACATAGAAACATGTACTGTCTTGTTGTAGTTACTTTTAATGTCTGAAAACTATTGCTGTACACTGTAGGAAAGGTTTACATTTCCCTGTATGCTATTTGTTCTACATAACAGGTTGGCAAAGAACTGCATGAGAAGAGAGAAGCAGAGTTCAGCAAACTACTGATGATGATAGACAATTATGTCAGGTAAGGACAGGTGTCAAATGATATACCAAACTTATGATGATAGACAATTATGTCAGGTAAGGACAGGAGTCAAATGATATACCAAACTTAAGATGATAGACAATTATTTCAGGTAAGGACAGGAGTCAAAAGATACACCAAACTTATGATGATAGACAATTATGTGATATCAGGTAAAGACAGGAGTCAAAAGATACACCAAATATATGATGATAGACAATTATGTCAGGTAAGGACAGCAGGAGTCAAATGATATACCAAACTTAAGATGATCGACAATTATTTCAGGTAAGGACAGGAGTCAAAAGATACACCAAACTTATGATGATACACAATTATGTCAGGTAAGGCCAGGAGTCAAAAGATACACCAAACTTATGATGATAGACAATGATGTCAGGTAAGGACAGGAGTCAAAAGATATACCAAACTTAAGATGATAGACAATTATGTCAGGTAAGGACAGGTGTCAAATGATATGCCAAACTTATGATGATAGACAATTATGTCAGGTGAAGACAGGAGTCAAAAGATATACCAAACTTATGATGATAGACAATTATGTCAGGTGAAGACAGGAGTCAAAAGATATACCAAACTTATGATGATAGACAATCATGTCAGGTAAGGACAGGAGTCAAATGATATACCAAGCTTAAGATGATAGACAATTATTTCAGGTAAGGACAGGAGTCAAAAGATACACCAAACTTATGATGATACACAATTATGTCAGGTAAGGCCAGGAGTCAAAAGATACACCAAACTTATGATGATACACAATTATGTCAGGTAAGGCCAGGAGTCAAAAGATACACCAAACTTATGATGATAGACAATGATGTCAGGTAAGGACAGGAGTCAAAATATACACTGAACTTTTGATGATAGACAATTATGTCAGGTAAGGACAGGAGTAAAATGATATACCAAACTTAAGATGATAGACAATTATTTCAGGTAAGGCCAGGAGTCAAAAGATACACCAAACTTATGATGATAGACAATGATGTCAGGTAAAGACAGGAGTCAAATGATATACCAAACTAGACAATTATGTCAGGTAAGGACAGGAGTCAAAATATACACTGAACTTTTGATGATAGACAATTATGTCAGGTAAGGGCAGGAGTCAAAATATACACCAAACTTTTGATGATAGACAATTATGTCAGGTAAGGACAGGTGTCAAATGATATGCCAAACTTATGATGATAGACAATTATGTCAGGTAACAACAGGAGTCAAAATATACACCAAACTTATGATGATAGACAATTATGTGATATCAGGTAAAGACAGGAGTCAAAAGATACACCAAATATATGATGATAGACAATTATGTCAGGTAAAGGCAGGAGTCAAATGATATACCAAACTTATGATGAGTCAAATGATATACCAAACTTATGATGATAGACAATGATATCAGGTAAAGACAGGAGTCAAAAGATACACCAAACTTATGATGATACACAATTATGTCAGGTAAGGACAGGAGTCAAAAGATACACCAAACTTTTGATGATAGACAATTATGTCAGGTAAGGGCAGGAGTCAAATGATATACCAAACTTAAGATGATCGACAATTATTTCAGGTAAGGACAGGAGTCAAAAGATACACCAAACTTTTGATGATAGACAATTATGTCAGGTAAGGACAGGAGTCAAAAGATATACCAAACTTAAGATGATAGACAATTATGTCAGGTAAGGACAGGAGTCAAATGATATACCAAAGTTATGATGATAGACAATCATGTCAGGTAAGGACAGGAGTCAAATGATATACCAAACTTATGATGATAGACAATTATGTCAGGTAAAGACAGGAGTCAAATGATACACCAAACTTATGATGATAGATAATTATGTCAGGTAAAGACAGGAGTCAAAAGATACACCAAACTTATGATGATAGATAATTATGTCAGGTAAGGGCAGGAGTCAAATGATATACCAAACTTATGATGATAGACAATTATGTCAGGTAAGAGCAGGAGTCAAATGATATACCAAACTTAAAATGATAGACAATTATGTCAGGTAAAGACAGGAGTCAAATGATATACCAAACTGATGATGATAGACAATTATGCCAGGTAAAGACAGGAGTCAAATGATATACACCAAACTTATGATGATAGACAATTATGTCAGGTAAAGGCAGGAGTCAAATGATATACCAAACTTATGATGATAGACAATGATGTCAGGTAAAGACAGGAGTCAAATGATATACACCAAACTCATGATGATAGACAATTATGTCAGGTAAAGGCAGGAGTCAAATGATATACCAAACTTATGATGATAGACAATGATGTCAGGTAAGGGCAGGAGTCAAATGATACACCAAATATATGATGATAGACAATTATGTCAGGTAATCACAGAAGTCAAATGATAAACCAAATATATGATGATAGACAATTATGTCAGGTAATCACAGAAGTCAAATGATAAACCAAATATATGATGATAGACAATTATGTCAGGGAAGGACAGGAGTCAAATGATATACCAAACTTATTATGATAAACAATTATGTTGGGTAAGGACAGGAGTCAAAAGATACACCAAACTTATGATGATAGACAATTATGTCAGGTAACGACAGGAGTCAAATGATATACCAAACTTATGATGATAAACAATTATGTTGGGTAAGGACAGGAGTCAAAAGATACACCAAACTTATAAGGACTTTATATTTTGTACAGTAACCCAAACATAAATTTTTCCAAAAGGGTGCTAATATGTTTTGATACTACGCTTACATGTCAATGTGATCATCACATATAAAGTAACGCAGGTGATCTATTCAAACAGGTTCATTTCTAATGTATCTAAAAATATTGTAGACTTACTTTCTTATTGTAAACTGTTCTCTGTTCATATTACAAAAAAGAACAAGCTATCATATTTAGAGACGTTTTTGATGGACAATTATATTGAGGCTTTTCCATATGGAGATTTATGACAGCAGTAAAATTCCTGTGTATTGTGAAAAATATCTTCCATTTCTGAGAGTCTGGTTTATTCTTCCTAGGATATTTAACCAAATTCGCAATGGTATTCAATTTGGCTAGTTTTGTCTAAGGAAGAAAGTGATCATCTACTTACACAGAAATTCCCAATAAGCAATCTGTATTGACATTGCACAAGGCTGCTGCCTGTAAATAAATGTTATTTTTCATTACAGCAAACGACAAAAGATCCACGTTCCTGCATTACGGGTCTGGTCAACTGACATGCCACATCCACAAGAAGAGGTACCATATTAATTAATATTAGTGCAGTACTTATCTTGTCCCGTAACCCTTTCACCACTGTAGACCAAAATGGACTCGTCCATATCAATGCATGGTAGAGTCTACTTAAGTTACCTAGGGGTGAAATGGTTAAGTTAGAAATTCCTGTGCGAGCTTTAGTTTCAGATGATGATGATGGTATGTTGTACATGTAGGTACATAAAGAATAAACAGTGGTCCAGTTAAACTGTCTACAAACTTAATTAACTTTGAGTACTGTATGGGTAAATGGTTTTAATGAATCATTTGTTTAGATGAAAAAATTTGCGTACCAATTACAAGCTATTTATAAGACATCATAACAAATTCTATGAGTACACACCCAGAATCCATTCACCCTGTCAGCATTTTGTTACATTCTAAATGAAGTTACTTAACACAGACAAAAAACATGAAAGTTAGACAAGTGGTGAAAGATATGTCTGTAACATTATGTTTCAAGCATCATGAATTACAAAAGTGAAAGTAAGAAGAACTTAATCCTTTTAAGTGAAACTGGAGTTATACTCATTGGTTAAAAGAAAAATGCTTACAATTAAACAATGGAGCACTTCCTAAAATCATTGGAGTAAAGACAAGGTATACATTTGAATGACCAGGATCAGAAGTACAATTCAAAGAAATTAGAGATTTGAGCAAGGACCTCAGCAGAAGGCTATGAATCCTGTCAGTCAGAAATAACTGTATATCTTTGATGGCACATTCAAAGCCTGGTCATTTACCCGTTATAGCCTATGTTTGTGTATGTATTGAAAGGACTGAAGGTAAACCAGTGTTTGTTTCATTACAGTATATTGAATGTCTGTGGGCCCAGATTAAGAACCTGCGCAACAACAAGTGGGTTGAAAAACAGATTGTCCGTCCCTACCTTGCTTTTGACGGTATTTTATGTGAGGCGCTGCAACACACACTTCCTCAGATCATACCCCCCTCTCACAATGATGAGCAGGGCTACCCCCTCCCCAGTGTCATCTTCAGAATGTTTGACTACACAGATGTGCCCGAGGTAAGACAAGTTACACTTTCATTTGGATTCATCAACCGGACATCATGCTGTCACATTTCATTTGTTTTTGTTTTTTGTGATACTCCTCTCTATCCCATCAATTATTATTTAGAAAATGTCACAATATTGGAGAAAACAGTACATGTTGTCAATGAATTGTAAATCCATATCTACTTTGTTATCAATAGGAAGTTTAACACAGTAATGTAAATGTAAAACCTAAAGTTATACTGAATTAAAGGATATGATGTTAACAGGGTGTGGTGTTACCTGGGAGTCACTCCATAGAACGTTACCTGATAGAGGACCAGCTCAGTAGAACCATACATACATACAGCACGGAGAGGAAGGACTGGTAAGTACCATTAGAGACATTGGTAAACATCTTCATCTATAGCCATTATTAAGTTAAGACAATATCAGATAATACCTTTGGCTACATGTAAATGTGTCTATATGGTTCAACTCCATTTAGGTATTTTACAGTATTTGTTGATAACTTTATGATTGTTCTTTTTTTTCTTCAGGGATTGAAATGTTTGTATGAATAATAAATAAATGTTGTATGTATCTGTGTACTCATATAGTGATAACATCTTGCATGTTTCAGTGCTGCAACTCTGCTGAGTTTCCCATCGAAGAACAAGATTCCGCTGAACTATATGATTGTTGAGGTAATCATTGTCTAATGGTAGGAGTAAATATATGATTGTATGAGTAATTATATTGTGGTAGGGTAACTATATTGTGGTAGGGTAACTATATTGTGGTAGGGTAACTATATTGTGGTAGGGTAACTATATAGGGTAACTATATTGTTGTAGGGTAACTATATGATTGTAAGGTAACTATATGATTGTAGGGTAACTATATAAATGTAGGATAACTATATGATGATAAAATATTGCTACCTTACGTGGAGAGGCATCACTAGCATTTTGTGTTTTGTTGCCTAAAACGAGTGAAGAGCAATTCTGTTTTTGATTATTAACCACTGACAAGCAAACAACTAGCCATTATGTTTATTTAAGTGAAACAGCTGATAACCTATCAAATTTAACCTTCGGAGGTTATAAGATGGTATATTTAATTGTGATGTTTGTGGCCTCTTGTGATACAAATCAATCTATGATAGCCCTTCCATCACTATGTACTGTTCATACTTTCAGGTCCTATTTAGCCAGCTGCTCCAGTTGCCACGCCCACCATTCTTGGAAGTTTTCTATGGATCTCTGCTTATAGAGCTGTGTAAGCTACAGCCAGGGTCTATGCCACAAGTGGTATCCTTTCTTACAATCAGACTCGGCAGGTGCCCCGGGTTTTGATAATCATGTGATTTTGTCTACACATTTTCAAATATACATACTGTTTATTTTCATAATCTTGGAAATTATCAGATCAAATAATACAACCTTTTGCAATAGAGAAGTCTTAATGGTTTTTGAGTTGTTAGGTGACTATTGTCATGTGAGGATTGACCCCATTCAAAATGTTCAGATAATCTGGCATTTATGGTGACATTAGGGAGGAGGGGGGATTGTGTGGCTAGGGGGAGGGGATAAGGTGAGGTTCGAGGGGGGAGGAGTAGTTTGTGTGTGTTAGGGGGAAGGGATAAGGTGAGGTTCGAGGGGGAAGAAGTAGTTTGTGTGTGTAAGGGGGAGGAGATAAGGTGAAGTTTGAGGGGGAAGGAATAGTTTGTTTTTTAGGGGAGGTGATACTATGTTGGTGGGTTAGTAGGAGGGGGATAATGTGTGTTTTGGGGTGTCGAAGGAAAACTGGGGGATGTGTGGATGATATGTTGTTGCTTTTGGAAGAACAGAATAATGTGTGTTTGGGGGAGGGGGTTGGAAAGATAATACATTGGTGCTTTTCGAGGAACAGAATAACATGTGTGATGGGTTAGGGGATGTGAGTATAGATAATACTTGTCCTTTTCTAGGTGGTTTAACGGAGGGAGTATGGAAAGATAGTGCTAGGTAAAATATCCCTAGGGAAAATACAGTCACTTAATAATAAGTATACTCAAATTAATTGTTATTATCCAAGAAATCTTTGCCAAAGAAGAGCTGGAGGAATAGAACAAATGTTGAAAGGCCCTTAAAATGTGTATGAAAATAATTATAAATGTAAAATGAGAATATTCTTTTGCTCAAAATGATATTCGTGAATGGTCCTGAATGTATTCCCCTGTGTTATTCCTCAACTCCAAGCAGCTTGCCCAGGCAACAGAAATGATATATGAACGTCTAGACACCATGAACACAACAGCAATGGAGAGGTAAGCCTTCACAATTCACATCACCTTTTGTCTGGTTTGGTGTATGTTGGTCAGTCATACATTAGTTCATTGAGTCTGTAGATTATTTATGTTATCACTATTGCTTTGAAATGGAAAATCTAGCTTAGATTATGTTCAAAACTAGTTTGCATGGCCCCCTTGGTACCTGTACTTGTCCTTGTGCAAGAAAAAATAGAGAAAAGAAGAGAAAAGAATCTACTGTATAGCAGTTATATTTGGCGGGGGTTTAATTTCTCTATATTCACACTTTGACTAATATCCGTGAATTTTAAACATCAGCAAAATTATCAAAAATGTTAACCAGTTTAACGGACCTTATCACAACATGTTGAAAATACATTGGGCAGTCCATGTAAAAACAACACTTATATATAAGTGGCCACAACGTATTTATGTGTACACAGTATATATAGGTGATTAATTGATTACGGTTTACTCCTACAAAGGTAAATGATGACACTCAAAATACTATGCACAACACATAGGATTCGGATGCACAGCGAAATTTAACCCCCGCAAATATGTACTGAATATGAAACTGAAATATTGTTATACAGTATGCACCAGCAACATTCCATGATCTTGTAATAGAGTGCACCAAGATCCCTCTAGGATATCTTTCTATGGCTGATATGTAATAACTGAAATGCGGAGTAGCCCTAAAAAGAGGAAGATGTAATGAGCAAGGTCTGTTTAAAAAGTTTATACAATATCATTGTGTTCTATTCCATGATTTGTTTCCCAGTTTTCAAATGTCTAAGCATCTTAATTAAATATTAATATTTATGATATACAGGTTTGTGTCCTGGTTTGCGTACCATCTCAGTAACTTCCAGTTCCGTTGGAGCTGGGATGACTGGGCTGGTTGCCTGGAAGCAGACCATGAACTCCCCAAGGCCAAGTTTATAAGCGAGGCCATGCACAAGGCCTTGCGGTATGTATACACTATTTTTACTGGTTACCTGGCCGAAGCGCCTTGGTTTTTTTTGTGTTTTTGTTTTGATTTCTTGTGATGGGGTGGGGTGGGGGAGGGGGAGTTGGGGGAGGGAGTGGTTATGGTAACAGTAGATGCAGTCTTGTCTGGTCTGTCAGTTATTCAATTTTATTGGAATTTAGTAGGGTTTATCCTTCCATTATACAGTTGTTAGGTCCATGATAAATAATTAATATTAAGGAAAAATACATGTACCTATTATTCTAGAACAACCTTTGATATGATGAAGTTGGGTTATAAGTTAGCTTTTTGATTAGAGTTGTACCAGGTAGTTGTAAACGAGGTTCTGCACACATCCTTTTTGCATGCACTTGAAAAAATCATTTCAATAGAGATTTAATTGTTGTTTATTTCATGGTTTTAGAGAAACCAAAAAATATGATCCAATTAAATATTTACCACACAAAACATAAACTGATATGTTACACTAATACTTTGTTTAAACTTTCAGACTTGCATACCATCAGAGAATAACAGAGACTGTTCCAGAGGTGTTTATGCCCCTCATGCCCCTTAAACCTGAGTCAGAATTTAAGTATGAGAAGGAAGGGTCTGGGGCATTACCAGGGACAATGACCGCCCACCAGCTCATCCAGGCTATCAAGGGACGCTGCACCCCTGAGGAGGCCATGGTGCTACTCAAGGACCTACCTAACCCCCTTAGTGACGAGGAGAGTGAGTAAATAGGGTTTGAAATATTTAGAGCAAAATACTGGCTTTTGTATTGTTGGGTTTTCACTGTTTTACTATTACTGCTGTTACTTGTCAAATAGTTTCTGTACCTGTGATAAATTTTGATAGCCCATATTGGTATGGCTTTATATGTGATATCAGTGTATATCACGAAGGAGAAGTCGAGAGTTCTATTTGTAAAACATTTGTTGAGCCAACAGATGTCTGAAGAATTACTCTCAAACACAAAACATGGGCGTAATCTTAATGAATCAAATGTAAATGGTAAAACCTGACTTTATACACATCCAGTCATAACTGACATGATTTTATGTCTTGTAAAATACATTTTTGTCTGACATAACGTCTAACTTTAACAACACACTACCTGACCAAAAACCCAGTCCCTCGTGATATTGGTAAACACAGGTTACAAAAGGTTATAAAAGGTGATTTACTATTTATTTTGGTATTGATGTAACTTGTTGAAAAGATTATTATTTTATAGATCTCGTACTTTATTACAGTGATCCTGCAGATGTAGGGTCCTATTTATGCATTATATTTTTGTAATTTTACATTGCTAACATATCAAACAGCAGACAATGATGAAGAAAATGAGGGTCACCTGATACTTAATTTTGCAGCAATTTTGTTGATCATGAATACAGGCAAAGCAAAAAGTAACAACTTTACAGCTTTTAGGTATTTTTTGTTAGTTTGATTACTCATTGGCAGTTAATAACTGTGATAATCTGTATTATTTACACAATCCTCCTTTTGTTTTAGGTGACCCAACATATCACCCTCTGAGGATTGATGTCTTCGTCTCCGTCCTTCTCCATCTTGGCTCGAAATCATTTAGCCATTCCTTTGCAGCTATAGCCAAGTAAGTCTGACTTAATCTTGGTTTCCTTTCATTTTATCACAAGTCTGACTTAATCTTGGTTTCCTTTCATTTTATCACAAGTCTGACTTAATCTTGGTTTCCTTTCATTTTATCACAAGTCTGACTTCATCTTGGTTTCCTTTCATTTTATCACAAGTCTGACTTCATCTTGGTTTCCTTTCATTTTATCACAAGTCTGACTTCATCTTGGTTTCCTTTCATTTTATCACAAGTCTGACTTCATCTTGGTTTCCTTTCATTTTATCACAAGTCTGACTTCATCTTGGTTTCCTTTCATTTTATCACAAGTCTGACTTCATCTTGGTTTCCTTTCATTTTATCACAAGTCTGACTTCATCTTGGTTTCCTTTCATTTTATCACAAGTCTGACTTCATCTTGGTTTCCTTTCATTTTATCACAAGTCTGACTTCATCTTGGTTTCCTTTCATTTTATCACAAGTCTGACTTCATCTTGGTTTCCTTTCATTTTATCACAAGTCTGACTTCATCTTGGTTTCCTTTCATTTTATCACAAGTCTGACTTCATCTTGGTTTCCTTTCATTTTATCACAAGTCTGACTTCATCTTGGTTTCCTTTCATTTTATCACAAGTCTGACTTCATCTTGGTTTCCTTTCATTTTATCACAAGTCTGACTTCATCTTGGTTTCCTTTCATTTTATCACAAGTCTGACTTCATCTTGGTTTCCTTTCATTTTATCACAAGTCTGACTTCATCTTGGTTTCCTTTCATTTTATCACAAGTCTGACTTCATCTTGGTTTCCTTTCATTTTATCACAAGTCTGACTTCATCTTGGTTTCCTTTCATTTTATCACAAGTCTGACTTCATCTTGGTTTCCTTTCATTTTATCACAAGTCTGACTTCATCTTGGTTTCCTTTCATTTTATCACAAGTCTGACTTCATCTTGGTTTCCTTTCATTTTATCACAAGTCTGACTTCATCTTGGTTTCCTTTCATTTTATCACAAGTCTGACTTCATTTTGGCTCCAAATTGTTGCCTCTCTTTGATAGCCATAATCAAGTAAGTTTTGCCCAGTCTCTTCATGTCATTATTAACACTATTTAGTCATTCCTTTGTAACAAGGAACAAATAAATGTGAGCTCTCAGCTGCAAATGATTTATAAAAGATTCCTCCCACACATATATACATATCTAGAGAAAGGATTAATGGGATTACATATCTGGTGACTGGGTAAAGGGTTAAGGTCATCATTACTGTAGATATACATCCAGTTCTCAAAACATTGTAATTAATCAGTTTGTAAGGTGACAGTCATGTTGTTGTTTAACTCAGATTCCACAACCTACTGAAGATGTTGGCAGACACTGAAGAGGGACAGATCTGGCTGTTACGCACTATGTACGAGGTCTGGTGGTCACACCACCAGGTAAACACACTATGTACGAGGGCTGGCGTTCACACCAACAGTTAAACGAACTATGTACGAGGTCTCGCGGTCACATCAACAGGTAAACACACTATATACGAGGTCTTGCGGTCACCCCAACAGGTAAATACACTATGTACGAGGTCTGGTTGTCACACCAACAGGTAAACCCACTATGTACGAGGTCTGGCTGTCACACCAACAGGTAAACCCACTATGTACGAGGTCTGGTTGTCACACCAACAGGTAAACACACTAAGTACGAGGTCTGGGGGTCACACCAACAGGTAAAAACACTATGTACGAGGGCTGGCGGTCACACCAACAGTTAAACACACTATGTTCGAGGTCTGGCAGTCACACCAACAGGTAAACACACAATATACGAGGTCTTGCGGTCACACCAACAGGTAAAAACACTATGTACGAGGGCTGGCGTTCACACCAACAGGTAAACAAACTATGTACGAGGTCTGGCGGTCAAACCAACAGGTAAACACACTATGTTCTAGGTCTGGCGGTCACTCCAACAGGTAAAATATGTACGAGGTCTGGCGTTCACACCAACAGGTAAACAAACTATGTACGAGGTCTGGCTGTCACACCAACAGGTAAACCCACTATGTACGAGGTCTGGCGTTCACACCAACAGGTAAACAAACTATGTACGAGGTCTGGCTGTCACACCAACAGGTAAACCCACTATGTACGAGGTCTGGCAGTCACACCAACAGGTAAACCCACTATGTACGAGGTCTGGTGGTCACTCCAACAGGTAAATCCACTATGTACGAGGTCTGGTTGTCACACCAACAGGTAAACTATGTACGAGGTCTGGCGGTCACACCAACAGGTAAACTATGTACGAGGTCTGGTGGTCACACCAACAGGTAAACACACTATATACGAGGTCTTGCGGTCACACCAACAGGTAAATACACTATGTCCGAGGTCTGGCGGTTGTATGAACAAGTAAAATCTCCATTAAAGAGGCAACAGGTAACCACCATAAACAAGGTGATACCAAATCACCAAGAATATCAGACTCTTAAAATTTTATTGATGCGTTAATTTCTAAAGTTATGACAGTTTCTGGATTAATTGAACAGAAGCTTGCTTAATAGTTTTTTCTATTCCTGATATTATTAGAAAATCCAACCTTTCAGCTTGTACTAGTCTTGACAAAAAGGTTTACTCATAGTTTTCAGTCAGTCAAAAACATAGCGGTTAAACAAGAATAATTTCAGAATCTCCTGCTGTATATTTTTTGTGAGTTAAATATGCTGTTTTGATGTAGGTTTTATTTGTTGGTTTTCCATACTTTACCATTCTATTGTATACAGTTTTGATTCATAAGGTATTTTCTTGAAATATTGAATTTGTTGCTTCGAGATAGGTCTTATGTGTTACTTTGATAGGCATTAATGTTTCCTTGATACGAAAGTTTTGGACTTTATCTTGCCTCGATAGTTAATGAAAATAACACTTTATATGTGTTAACCTGTTTTATCCTGATTCTTTTTAAACACTTTGTTTATGCTTTTGTTTGTACTGTTTGTTAATCTTCTGTTGTTTATTCTCTGTTTACACGTACACTAGACTGCTATGTTTCATATTTTACCGTTGTAGATGATGGTAGTACTTGTGGACAAGCTCCTGAAGACACAGAGTGTAGAGCCATCCTCTGTTTGTTAGTCTACTGTTGTTTATTCTCTGTTTACACGTACACTAGACTGCTATGTTTTATATTTTACCGTTGTAGATGATGGTAGTACTTGTGGACAAGCTCCTGAAGACACAGAGTGTAGAGCCATCCTCTGTTT